CTTCCTTGCAGCATGGCGGTCTCGGGCTTGTCTGGCTTCTCCTCGTGTGGCTGGTTTCCCATTGAGTGAGTGACACAAGAGACAGGAAGTGGAGGCTGCACATCTCTGCCTGGGCCCAGAACAGGCACAGTGTTGCTTTGGCCGTGTTCTATTGCTCAGTCACAATAGCAGTCCCAGAACCTGCTTGGATTGCAGGGGGGCACTTAGGAGGGCCCTGCCTCTCAGCGGGAGGTGTGTCCACCCCAATGGCCCCAGGAGATCTCGCCTGTCTGTCTCCGCAGCCCTCCCCTTCCCTGAAGGCCCAACCTGGCTCCTGCCGGGCCTCTGCACTGGCTGCTCCTCTGCCCGGAACCCTCCTTTCCCCCATGGCCACATTCTGGCTCAGGCTCATCTCTGAAGCGTCAGCTCACACATCTCTTCACCCAGGCTTAAAGGAGCCCATGTTCTGGTCCCTCTGTAGCCCGAGCTGTGTGATTCTGTTCACGCGCATGGGAAGTGACGTGTCCTGTTCTCTCATTTGCTTCTCACGCCCCGCACAGCCCCAGGCTAGAGAACCAGCCTCACCAGGGCAGGAGCCTCTCCGGTCTCGTCCACCCTGTCTCCTGTCCCTGGCACGTGGCGCATGGGGCTTGTTCAGGAAACATGGCTAATGAGTGAAGGGGAACAAAATGGCCAGCCGTCACATGCACCGCCCTCATCGGCCTTCCCCACGGGGTTGGAACTGCAGGCAGGCAGGATGGGGGAGAATGAGTGCCTGGGCCCACGGACCCTTCTCCCGGGGTGGGACACTGGCCCCCGGCTGGGTCTCTGTTCCTGGAATTTATTTCATGGGAAGCCCCATGATAAGCCACCTTCGGTTTCCAGGGCCCCTCTCCCCGGCACCACCCTTGTGTGTGGGTGATGGCGGCGCAGCCTCTGAGACCCAGGCGGGCAGAGGACCTCCAGGCCGGGCAGCTGGGTGCACCTGGCCCTCGCTGCCTGCCCTCAGGAGAGGGGACGAGGGTGTGTAGTGGCTCCTGAGGGAAACAGGAGGGCAGAAAGCCCTCGTTCCATCGTCTTTCCTCCCCCTGCTGACTGAACATGCCCTCCCCACCTTCCTCCTCAGTGTAGCAGAGGAAGGAGCAGCTCAGAGTCTGCAGTCCGGCCGGAGTTCCAGGAGTGTAGCCTTGAACCTCAGTTTCCTTATCAATAAAATGGGAATGATTGAAATGGGCTCTGGTGGGGCCCAGGGCCTGGTCAAGGGGCCTAGTGGGGCCCTTGCAGCTCTTTGTTTCCGTGAAATCATTCTGTCGGAGTCCTGCCTCCAACACACCCCGGGCTGCCTCAGCGGCAGGCAGGACAGGGCTTTGTGTCACTACTGGTGCTGGCTCCTGCAGGGTGGCCGTGAACTGTGTTGCAGGCCCCGGGGGGCCTGAAATCCAGCCGCCTTGTCCTCTCTGACCCTGGTGCGAGGGCCCAGAGCCACATCTGCCGTCGGAAGCCTTGGCTTTTCCCATTTTCCAAAGGTCCTGTCCTGCTAGCTCGGAGACTGGTGTGCAGGGGAAGCGGGAAGGGGCTTCTGATTTGTACCAAGGGGCTGTTTGGTTGGGGGGAGGCAGCAGCCCTGAGCTCCTGAGGTGACGTGAGCCATTCACTGCTGGGGGCCGTGTGACAGCAGGACAGCCCCGGGCCGAGGCCTGTGCTTCTCTCGCTCCCTGGCATCCAGGGAAGAGCTGACACCCTCGTTTTGAAGTCCCCTAACTCAGGAAGGGGGGCAGTGAGTGGGGTCAGGCCTTGCCAGGAGTGGCACTGGAATGGCAGCTTTGACGGCCTCGTTTTCCTCTCAGAACGGGCCTTCGGCTTTCAGTCAGGAATCTTCTGTGGGCCTGGAGAGTTTTTTCCTGAAGGTCTCACCCTTGGCTGCTTTGTTTCCTCTTACATTGTCAGCTTTCCCAGGATGGCGAGAAAAGTGCACAGGTTGTTACCAGGTGCGTCTGGCCTGCTTCCCTGGAGGTGAGGATCGATCCCCCTCAGCAGGATGATAAATCGCTGGTCTGTGGCATCGCAGTGTCGTGCAGTCAGATGATGTGCCTTAAATCCGTCAAAGCCCAGGGCGACGCTTGGGTAATCAAAACAGGCCCGGGTATGTGGGCTTGAGCGGCTGGTGGACGTGGCCCCAAGGCTGGAGCCGGGACACAGGGAGGCTTCCGAGAGGCTGGACAGGGCTGCTTTTGAGCCTGCTCCAGTGCCCCCCACTCCTGCCACCTGGAGGACACCACTCAGCTTGGGGGCCCTGGGCTGTCTGTTGGGCGCTGGCCTCGGAGAGGTCACTGCTTTGCCGCCTCTTCAGGGCAGTTGTGGGTGCTCTGTTCTGACGCACTCCGCTTTCTGGTGCTTTCTCCATCTTTTGAATCTTGCTTTGTCCCGTCCATAACCCCCTCACAGGCAGCCCTGCTAACATGGCTCCCCAGAGTGCAGCTGGGGCAACCCTGCAGCCTTCTGGGCTGGCCGCCCTAGAGTCTGGACCTGGGACCAGAAGGGGGACCCTGAGGAGCAAAGAGTGCCATGCGAGGCCACTGCCCAGGCCAGAAGACCCCAGAGCCTTAGCCTCCCAGGCCTGGAGTGTGGGCAGGGCAGGACCTGTGTGGCAGCTCACTCCCCAGAGCAGTCGCTGGCTGTGCCCAGGTGCCAGGACCATAGTCACTAAGGCAAAGAGCTGGGATTGTGACTTGGGCTGTCTGTGAAAAGAGTCCCAGAGGGGTTTGGCTCCACTCACAGGGTGTCCGAGCCCAAGAAGTCAGGGTGGCATTCAGCCCACGTGCAGAACCGGCCTGGCTCGCTGGCCAGAGTCGTGCAAGGGGCAGGTACAATGAAGTGCTTGGGCCCTTGGAAACCCAGGTGCGTTGGTAATGGAACTAAGGCTGACCCTCAGCATCAGGGCCCTTGAACCTGACCCTGGACAGGGGCCTTGGGCCCGGGAGCCCAGAGCCCTGCATTGGAGTCCTTCCTGGTCCTCCGGCTCTCCCCGCCCCTGCTCCCAGCGTGATCTGCAGATCAGAGGCAGCAAATACCTCATAAAATGTCCAGATGCGGCAGGGGTGGGGAGGATGGGACAGAGCCACATTTGGGAAAGTGTCCCATGACCTAAGGGGGCAGAAGTGGGAGTGAGGATTTAGCAATCACAGCAAGGGTTGGGGAAACATGTTGCAGGATCCAGAATTCAGATTGGGCAATTCCAGTCGGTCAAGGGCTGAGCTGTCGGCAAAGCCTCCCGCAGACCTGGTGAGCCTGTCCTCTCCGACTCCGTGACGCCAGGCCCCGGGGCCGGTTCAGAGAGCGCTCTCGGGAAGTAGTTGCCAACGAATGAATGAGTCGTGGCGGCCTGGGCAGGATGGGGATTTCGCTTTACAAGAAGAGAAAAGTGAGGTTCAGGGAGTGGGGAGGCATCCCAGGTCCTGGTGGGAGCCAGGACCACCGGGCACAGCCTGGACCTGGGTCCCACACTCTTGCCCCACCTCCAGGTGCTGACCTTAGGGCCTCAGAGCTGCAGCTGCGCACGGTGGTGTCTCGGGCAGGTCCTGCCGCCTGGAGCCTGGGGCCCAAGCAGCAAGGCCAGGTCCCCTCTGTCCTCCCTGCCCCAGCCCAGGAGCGGGACCTTGCCCGGGCAGCTCCGATCACGGCCATCTGTGGCTTCTCTGGTTCGGTGCCAGGGGGAGTGAGGGAGGGAGAGCAGTGCGGTTGGCCACTCATTCACCGTTTCACTGAAGCATGAAATCGCTTCCTTCCTTTACCAGATTATTGCTTAAGTAGAAAATCGACTTGGAGTGGGAGGCAGCGAGGGCATGTACTTTTGAAAATTCAAAGGGAAAAGGAAATGTTTGGTTTTGTTTGTCTGCTTCATTACCAGCAGGAAGAAGACAGCACAGGCTTTAGGGGTCGGGATGCCGGAAGGCAGCTCGCTTTTTGGCCACTTTTTCCACAGCACGAAACTGGGGTCTTGGCTCGTGCTATCAGCTGGACTGCAGTGACAGTGCCTTGGAAACACCCTCCCCCCATCAAGCAGGTGGTGAGCCTGTGTCTGTCTGTCTGCACGGACTGTCGCTCCAAGTGCCACGCCCGCAGCCTGGCACAGCAGGGCAGACGAGGACGGCAGGCGAGGCGCGCCGTGCCCAGGACCCTGGAGCCGCCTGCAGGGACCAGGGTGCTCTGTGGGCTCCTCGGGCTCCACTGCTTGGGTTGAGGCAAGTCTGGGTGCTTTAGTGTTCAGCGCGTCCTGCTGTCGTCCAGGTCTTTGCCTTGGCGTGAAGCGTGAGTCACTGGCAGCCTCGCCTCCAAACCATCACTCGTCCCAGCTGGGCGAAGAGGCCTCGGAAGACCCTTGGATTCAGAAAATGTGTCTACATTGAGCACTTGGGCCATGACAGCAGCTCTTGGAGATCTTTCCAAGGGCAAGGGGGGGCTTCCGGCCAGTGCTGCTGGGAGTCCAGCTCAGGACAGAGCCTGCTGGGAGCAGGGGTGTGTGTGTGAGGCGCTGCTTAGGTGTCCACAGCAAACCCTGCAGGAGTCAGAGTCACCCTGGGCCAGTGGAAGGCAGAGATCGGGCTTCACACCTGGGAATCCCGGCACTGGCTCTTTGGGCAGCTCTTTTGCCTCTCTGACCCGTGGCTTCCCCGGCTATGAAATGGGGCTCTTAAGAAACGCTTCTGCAGAGGGCCGTCCTGACTGTCGAATGCCAGCGAGGGTACCTCGCTGCCCTGAGGCCTGCTTACCCTAGTCAGGGACGCCATTTGCATGTTCTCATAACCATGGGAGGCAGCCCCAGCCCGAGCTTGTCCAGGGGGTGGTTCATCTTCAGGCCACAGATGTTTGTCCCAGGGTTGGTCCATGCTGATGAGGACAAACCAGTTTCTGCGGGGCAGGGTGAGACCCAGCTGCTCTCGCCCTCATTGTCCCTGGAGACGTGGTAGAGGGAGAGGGGCTTGGCTTGGCAGAGCTGAGCAGGGGGGTGGGGGAGAGGGCGGGGCACCTGAGGCCAGGGTTGAAGGGTCACCTGCAAGAGGGCAGACGGCAGGAGGGCCCCTCTCACCTGTGGGCTCGTTCCCCCGCAGGCTGGTGCACCATGTCGGTCAGCGTCCATGAGACCCGCAAGTCGCGGAGCAGCACGGGGTCCATGAACGTCACCCTCTTCCACAAGGCCTCCCACCCAGACTGCGTGCTGGCCCACCTCAACACACTGCGCAAGCACTGCATGTTCACGGACGTCACGCTCTGGGCAGGCGACCGGGCCTTCCCCTGCCACCGTGCTGTGCTGGCCGCCTCCAGCCGCTACTTCGAGGCCATGTTCAGCCACGGCCTGCGGGAGAGCCGGGACGATACGGTCAACTTCCAGGACAACCTGCACCCCGAGGTGCTGGAGCTGCTGCTGGACTTCGCCTACTCCTCGCGCATCGCCATCAACGAGGAGAACGCCGAGTCGCTGCTGGAGGCAGGCGACATGCTGCAGTTCCACGACGTGCGGGACGCCGCCGCCGAGTTCCTGGAGAAGAACCTCTTCCCCTCCAACTGCCTGGGCATGATGCTCCTCTCGGACGCCCACCAGTGCCGCCGGCTCTACGAGTTCTCCTGGCGCATGTGCCTGGTGCACTTTGAGACGGTGCGGCAGAGCGAGGACTTCAACAGCCTGTCCAAGGACACGCTGCTGGACCTCATCTCGAGCGACGAGCTGGAGACTGAGGACGAGCGAGTGGTCTTCGAAGCCATCCTCCAGTGGGTGAAGCACGACCTCGAGCAGCGGAAGACCCACCTGCCCGAGCTCCTGCGCAGTGTGCGGCTGGCCCTGCTGCCGTCCGACTGCCTGCAGGAGGCCGTCTCCGGCGAGGCCCTCCTCATGGCTGACGAGCGCACCAAGCTCATCATAGACGAGGCCCTGCGCTGCAAGACCAGGATCCTGCAGAACGACGGGGTGGTCACCAGCCCCTGCGCCCGGCCACGCAAGGCGGGCCACACGCTCCTCATCCTGGGGGGTCAGACCTTCATGTGCGACAAGATCTACCAGGTGGACCACAAGGCCAAAGAGATCATCCCCAAGGCAGACCTGCCCAGCCCCCGGAAGGAGTTCAGCGCCTCGGCAATCGGCTGCAAGGTCTACGTGACCGGGGGCAGGGGCTCCGAGAATGGGGTCTCCAAGGACGTGTGGGTGTACGACACCGTGCACGAGGAGTGGTCCAAGGCGGCGCCCATGCTGATCGCCCGCTTTGGCCACGGGTCAGCCGAGCTGGAAAACTGCCTCTATGTGGTGGGAGGACACACGTCCCTGGCGGGTGTCTTCCCGGCCTCACCTTCTGTCTCCCTGAAGCAAGTGGAGAAGTACGACCCCGGGGCCAACAAGTGGACGATGGTGGCCCCATTGAGGGATGGTGTCAGCAATGCCGCAGTGGTGAGTGCCAAGCTGAAGCTCTTTGTTTTCGGAGGGACCAGCATCCACAGGGACATGGTGTCCAAAGTCCAGTGCTACGACCCCTTGGAGAACCGGTGGACGATCAAGGCTGAGTGTCCCCAGCCTTGGCGATACACGGCCGCCGCCGTCCTAGGCAGCCAGATCTTCATCATGGGAGGTGACACGGAATTCACGGCTGCCTCGGCCTACCGCTTCGACTGCGAGACCAACCAATGGACGCGGATCGGGGACATGACCGCCAAGCGCATGTCCTGCCACGCCCTGGCTTCTGGCAACAAACTCTACGTGGTCGGGGGCTACTTTGGGACCCAGAGATGTAAGACCCTGGACTGCTATGACCCCACTTCGGACACGTGGAGCTGCGTCACCACAGTGCCCTACTCGCTCATCCCCACGGCCTTTGTCAGCACCTGGAAGCACCTGCCCGCGTGAAGAGCACCTGCAGAGCCCAGCCAGGTGAGTCCAGCAGCTGGGGCTGCTCTGGGCCCATGGGAGTAGGGGGGAAGGCACCGCTGCCCGCTTCTACTCTGCGTGAGGGTCTTCCGGGGGCGGCTGGGTGGGCAGCAGGTGGCTAGTGTGCTCTGGGTCCATCCTAGCTTTGCCTCTTACTTGCAGTTGATCTTGAGCAAATCATACAACCCCTCTGCAAAACGAGGACGATAACTTCAGCTAAACCAGCACTGTGGTTCCCAAATACAACGGTCACACATCAGGATCTTTGACAGGGATCTTTTGACAGTGCCATGTGGCACCTAGGCCAGCCTGAAAAGTCTGAGGGCGCAAGCCCCACACAAGTCTGCTCTCACTTCTGACACCAGCTACAAGACAGGGGCCTCCCAAACACCCCAGGTTCAACAATCTGCTAGAAGGACTCGCACCGCTCACTGAAGGCTGCGTGCTCGCTGCATAGTTTATTACAGGGAGTGATAACAGAGTCTTGCTCACCAGGACGCTCACGCAGGCTCTGGTGTTTGCAGTTTTTACTGGGGCTGCGCTGTGTGGAATTGGATGACTGACGAGCTGACTGACTGTTCATGTGGTTACTCTGTCTCCAGGTGGACGGATACAGCATGACCCAGACCCCCACCCTAAATCGCATGGTTGTCAGATGTGGCCACCTCTCTGCCCCATGCAAAGACATAGATAGGAGCTGAGGGCCAAGGCCAGACCTCTGTGTGGGCAAGGCCAAATTCTTCACCGCACAGATGCCAAAGCCCAGGCCACACCCCAGAGCTGTTAAGCCACAACCCATGAGATCAGGGCCCTGGCCTGAGTAGCGGTCGCAGCTCCGAGGATGTCCCAGTGTGCAGCCAGATGGAGAGCGCAGGGGCGAGGTGGGTGCTGCTGCTGCTGCTGCTGCCGCAGGTCGGGTCCTGCCTCTCCTGGGGCAGCTGTGTGCTCACAGCCTTCTTGGTGCTCGTGTAGGGACTGGCATGGGTGGTGGGTTTGGCGTGGGTTGGGGGTCGCCAGAGAAGGGTTTGGTGCTTGACTCTCAGGTCCTGGGAAGGGCCAGGATGTGTGCTGCTAGCCCTTGTCCCTTGTCCCAGCTCTGGGATGGGGGCAGGCAGCCTGGGACCCTGGGGGCTCTGAGCTGGGATAGGGACAGGGTGAGGCAGCAGATCCCTACCTAGGCGCTGCTCTGCCTCCAGCACTAGAGGAGCCTGTGGAGGAAGTGGCCCCGACAGCCGCAGAGCTCACGCCCCTCCCGCGCCCCCGCCTGCCTCTGCACTCCAGCAGCACGAAGGGGCCAGCACCGGTCCCTGTGTGCGGGCTCAGCCCCCTGCAGTTCAGATCACGGGGACCTGAGTAGGAAAATTAATTTCCTCTATGAACCGGCAGCTGCTGACATGAATGCTGGGAGCTCTGCGCGGCGAAAGCAGTCTTTCTTAGCCGGAGCTGCTTCTAAAAGGAAGCTGATGTTTCAGCCACTAAATCACATCCCTCCAAGCCTTCGAGTCCCTTAAAGGGATACGCCAGCAGGCCAGGAGGGCTCAAGCCCAGGCATCAAATCCACAAATACGGGGTGTTTGGGCTCATGAAGGGCTGCCTGACTAGGAATGTGGCTTCGTTCTCTTTTAAGGCTTTTCTGTTTTTTTTGTTTGTTTGTTTGTTTTTTTTTTTAATCTTCTCACTTCCACTTTGGAAGAAAAATCTGACCTTCCACATTTCTTTGTCTCCTGAGGAGTGAGCTTCCAAGAGGATATTGGTTTTTCCTCATTAATTCCCTGTTGCTACTCTCCAGGTAACTTAGGAACCCGGGGTGTCACCTGTGGGGAATGGAGGCTCTTCCCACCCCAGGCCAGGTGGGGAGCAGGGCCCTGTGCCACTGGCCCCAGGCGGCTCCAACCACCCCCAGACGGGAGGCTCCCTGCCGCCCACACCAGGCAAGGATCAGGAGGAGCCGACCAAGCCCCCTCGGCAAGGATCGGGCTCAGGGGGGCTGAGATGTAGCGTGCCTGCCGCCTCCCACGCGCAGTGGCACCCCCGGTGACCACACTCTCCACTGAGCCTGGCAGCCACGTGGGGACACCCCGGCCCAGGGCCTCGGCCAGCGCATTGGCCGTCTACACTGTCGCCTAGCAGTGCCTGGGCCAGAGGTGGCTCCTGTACCCACCGTGCACCTCCAAGTTTGCCTCCCTGACCCAGGTAACTCGGGGCCAAGTGTGCCGGTGAGAAGTCAGCTCTCGCTGGTCCCCACCGGCATCACTGACCGGGCCAGCCGTTCCTTGGATCCATCTGCAAAACTGACTTGAGCTCAGGAACCACTGGCCTCTCTCTCCTCCACACCCCAGATGACAGCTGCTGTCTGTCCCCAAGCTCTTTTTCCCTGTCCCAGCCATCCATTTGAACTCCTGGTAGGTGCGGGCATCTGCCTTGCATCCTCTGTTGTCATTTTCTCGTGTCCTCCCAGAGCTGCTTGTCGTAGTGCTGCTATTGCAGAGGCGGCCACCGAGGCTCTGAGAGGAGAGGTAGTTGGCATCAGATGAATGGCTAGTAGGGGCCGGAGCAGGACTTGAGCCCCGGGCAGGCCCCACGCCTGCAGGCGTCCCTGGGGAGCCAGCTACTGGCATCCTGTCTGCGCCCCGTCTCTGAGCACAGCCCAGCCCAGAGCAGCTGCCCGGCAGGGGGAGAGTTGCTATGTTGGAATGTAAATGCCAGCAGCACTTCCAGGGAGCCCCTTTGCTCCAGGGTTGTGGTGGGATCCATGTCCCCAGGGCACAGCAGCCAGCAGAGGCCAGGAGGCCCCTGGAACTGAGTGCAGACACCCGTCTCCCTGGTTAGCCGCTAAGGGTGGGTACTGTGAACGTTCTCTCTTTTTCTCTTTTTCTTTCCCAAGCCCTTCAAGGCACAACCCCCAACCCTTCTCTGCCCGCTCCCGCCCAGCCCAGCTGGAGGATGAGCCCATTTCACAGATGAGGAAACCAGGCATCAGAGAAGCAACTGCCAAAAATTAGGGGAACCCAGACTGGGATGGCCTCGGGATGAGCCCGTGGGCAGCTGTGTGATCTGGTGGGGGCGGACACAGGAGCTGGCCCTGCAGCTCGCCAGCTCCTCTGCCTTTAGGTGCCATTTCTACTCCTCTCCGTGACTCGGGACAGCGTGGGGGACACGTGCAGGTCAGGGTCCCCCAGCCCTTCACCCCAGCACCAGCAGCTTTGAGGTTGAGTGTAAGGTCCCCTGAGGGGCCACGTGGCAGTGTGTGGTGTGCTGGGGCAGGGGCCATCTGCTTGGTGACCCTGGTGTGGGCGGGCAGGCCCCGGCGGCGTGAGTTGGGCAGCTTAGAGCAGCTCAGGATGTGCGGGGCCTTGGGGCTCAGCTTCTCACTGTGAGGGGCTTGGGGTCACTTAGGGGCCTTCACCAGCCCAGCCCTTGCCTCCGGGAGCTTGGTGACAACCTGGGGAGGGCAGAATTCCTGCAGCCTGGCAGTGCGAGGGAGGGAGGGCTGCACCCTCCTTCAGGAAGTGTCCCACAGATGCCCAGTGCTGGCTACATTTTTTTTATTGTTATGTTACTTAAACATATACAAATGTACAGCTAGATAAAAGCCCTTGTGTTTGCTGTCTTAATCAACTGTAAAGCTAATGCAAATGCACAGGAGGTTAAATACAACCTCATGATGTAACCTATAAAACCCGTGATACTATCACCATTCGTTGATGTTTCGCTCCGACTGTGTTGCCTCTTTGCTTCTTGGAATGACTGAATGAAGGAAGGAAGGAAGGAAGGAACGAACACAACAGGGTTACTAGACAGCGCAGCTGCCCGTGCCGCCTGGCAGGAGAACTCACTTCTCTTTTCCCCTTCGGAGCCTCCGAGAGATACATTTGAGGGAATTCGTTAGGGGAATTGGCTCACTTGGTTACGGAAGCTGAGAAGTCCCACAAAAGACCGTCTGCAGGCTGCAGGCTGCAGGCTGGAGACCCAGGGAGGCCAGCAGCGTGGCGCAGTCCAAGGCCACAGGCCCAAGTGCCTGGGGTCCCCTGGTGCCAGAGTCCCAAGGCCACAGAACCTGGAGTTCTGATATCCAAGGGCAGGAAAAGAAGGCATCCGGCTCTGGAAGAGAGAAACCCGAATTCACCCTTCCTCTGCCTTCTTGTTCCAGCCGGGCCCCTGGCCCACTGGACTGTGCCCACGCCGTGCCCTGACTCGGGAAACACCCTCAGAGGCACACCTGGGGCAGCCTAGCCAGTCTAACCAAAGCCAAACCACCTGGGTTTCCCTTGCAGCAGAAGAGGGACGGGCTTAGCGCCTACCGAAGCCCGGAGAATAAACAACGTTTTCCCAGCTACCTGGGTATCCTTTAACCCAGTCATGTTGTTGCCCAAGATCAGCCGCCACACTCGGGAAACCAGGCTGGGGGGCTCCGAGCTGCGAGCCCGGCCCCAGGGCCGACGGTGGCAGGGCTGTGTTCCAGCCCTTCCCTGCGGCTCTGCATTCTCATTTTGTTCCAGATTAGGGCAGAACAATGTGGCCACTGATTCATTTTCTCTCTCTCTCTTTCTCTCTCCGCCCTCCCCCACAGACCGCGTGTTTGTCCCCTCCCCACGGCTGCAGCCCTCACTGTCACAGCGTGAGCTCACCAGCCCCGGGCCAGCATCTGAGGGGCTGCAGGGGCTCGGCCGCTGTGGGAGCAGCAGCCTCGGCCGTTCTGAGCTTCAGGCAAGAAGAGAAGCATCGCCCGAGTCTCGTGTGCCCCCGGAGGCCTCTTTAGCTTCGCAGTGGTGTGGGGGAGGAGAGGCCCTTCCAGAGGGGCATGGGCTGCCACCAGGACTGCCCCCCGGTCTCAGAGAGACGGACCCAGCTGCAGAGCCTTGAGGTCACCCGTGTGAACACGTCCTGGACTGGGGCCGGGTCAGCAGGGGCCGGAGGGTCCTGGGAGTGGGAGCAGCACTGGGTGGGCCTCAGTGCCCCAGCGCTGCCCGCACAGCCTTGCACGCCAGGGCTGCCCTGCCAGCCTTCGACGTCGTGCCATAGGTGGCATTCCAGACACAGGGAAGCAGGGTTCACCGGGACTGAGCAGAAAGTTGCCAAGAAGAAAACCCAGAACAGATTTTATAAGGGGCAAAAACGCCACCGGGTGACCACAGTGACATCCACAAGGCCTTATTAACAAATAGCACCCAAACCCCCAAGGTCAAAGAGGAGATCTCCTGGGGGCCCCTCCCCAAAGCCCCAAGTCCCAGCCCATCGACCAGGGTGGTGCAGCTGGGCACCCACTCACGGGGGAGGCTGGGCTCATGCGGCAGGCTCAAGGTCCCAGGGTGACCTGGGGGGCCGCCCCTACCTCCCCTCCTCAGAGCCCACCCCAGAGGCAGTGACGACCTCCGCCCCTGTCAACAGCACAGGAGACCACACCTGCCCACAGATGTGGCCCTACCCTCCCAGATGGGGAGCAGCTATGAGCTGGGGGCCACACAGGGACCCTGGGGCACCCCTGCAGCTCCCTCAGGGCTGCGGCCATCTCCGCGTGGAGGACAGTGATGAGTCCCCAGCCAGCACTCGCCATCCTCCGCCGTCTTGGCCTTCCTCCTGGTGACACGGATCTGTCCCCTCTTTGCTCCCTGAGCTCAAAACTAAGAATGGTCCCAAGAGAACTGCCAAACATTTGTTCATTGCTGTCACTTCCTAAGTCACTGGGGTCCCTCATCTGTCCCCAGCATCTGGGTTGTGGGGGAGGTTAGCTCCTGCCAGTGGCCACCCCAAACTCCCTCGCTCACCGCAGGCCACCCTTTTGAGGGTGAGGGGACCTCTCAGGGCCTTGGGGAGGGGCTGGGCTGGGTGCCCAAACCTGGGGCTTCCCGGCCGCCCGCCATGTGCACACACTGCTTGGCTGGCTCAGGATTAGGGCTCCAGACTGGGCTACACTGTCGATAAAAGATTTGGGGCCACATTACAAACCAGCTGTTTGAGCAGCCCTGAGTGTGCTCCCACCTCAGCACCAGCACTGGTCCTGTGGGCCGCTTTGGGGAGCGGGACCTCTGGGCAGGGTTTGCCCGTCGATGCGCTCCAGCCGTGGGGCGCGGGCCACGCGTGGCTGAGAGCGGAAGCTGCGTCCCGGGGCTCCTCGGATCCCGCAGAGACCCCAAAGGCCGGCCTCCTTTGCTTGTGGGATCCATCTCAGCTGCCTAAAGACACTTGGCTCTGGCCCCCGGGCCACGGCTCTGCCGGGGACCTTGGGAGCCCCTGGCCCCTGGGGCTGGTGGAGGAAGCCGCGGGCCAGCGGGGAGGGCCCTTGCCGTAAAGCATACTTCTTCTCTCAGCACAGAGGACCTAGCCATGGTGCTTTCCCCGAAAGTTGTGTTGCTTTTATTGGTTTTCTAACTTAATAAAAAGAGTCGACAAAATTCCTTGCCTGCCTTGTGCGCTGGGACGAGTCTTAGGGACGCAGGTGTGGGCAGACTTCGGTTTCTGCACCAGCAGCCGGGCTCAGAGCTGCCCGTTGGCATTAGCCCCTCTGTGCGTTGGCAGAGGACTGGCTGCCCCTCAGTCTTGGCAGCAGCCTTGACGTCGACGGGTTGTGGAATCCCGAGCCCGTCCCCCCACCCTTCTGCGAGCCGTTCTTTCCCGAAAACCCCTGTGTGGCGAATTCGAGTTGAAAATGTAATTCCGTCCAACAGGCAGAGCCCCTCGGCACGGGTCGCACAAACAGCCGTAAGAGGGGTGCGGTTAGTAGGTGGCTTTCTTGGTCAGCACGCCTCAGAGTGGTTTGCCCTGGTCGGTTACACTGCCCCAGTTCACCTGCCCTTGTCACACCTTCCTGGCCGTTGTGAACCGTAGACTCACAAACACGCCGCAGGTGAAACAGACGGTGTTCAGTGTTTTGTGGTCTCACCCGTAGGGCCCCGCAGACAGCGGGCAAGCTAAGGCAGTGACGTCGGGGTGTGGCCCAGGGTGTGAGATGGTCTCGCTGGAACCCGGGACCCCTCGTGCCCTAAGCCTCCGCGGTGACCACACGGTGGCCCTTGTCCGCGTTGGTGCTCAGCAGGGCGCAGACCCGCAGAATCCACACGCGGCTTTTGCTGCGCGAAGAAGTGTTGCGCATGCTCAGGCGGGGCCGTTACAGTGCGCTCGCGAGGTCCCAGGATCATCTGTGTGAGTGGTTCGGGTAGAAGGCTCAGGAGCAGGACGGTCCTCTTCCCTCCACCACAGCCCGTGGCACAGCCTGGGAAGGACGTCCCGGCCTGCCCCTTGCACTGTCTACACCTGCTCCAGTGTTGGGTCGGGAATAACAAAGGTGACCGCTGCCACCGGGGCTCTGCGCTCGGGCGTCACGCAGACTGCTGTGAACACAGCCCAGGCAGCACGGGGAGGTGGTTCCCGGCCGCGCAGTCCCAGCGCCAGTGTGAGCAGGCCCGGGCTCCTCCCGCCTTGTTGCCTGGCCATCTTCCACTCCGGGCTGCTGTGTCCTGTCCCCCGCCGCCGCCCAGCCCCTGCCCTCCTGTCTGCATTCCAGCCAGTGGGAGGGGGAGAAGAGGAAGTGACGGGGAGCCCCTGAGGGCATGCCCCAGGAGTCGCACACCTAGCTTCTGCATGGGCTGAACTGAGTCACATCCACACCTGGCTGCGAGGGAGGCTGGGAAGTGCCAGCTAAAACTCCGGGACCCTGATGCTAAATAAACAAAGGGAGGATGGATGTTAGGCAGGTAGCGGCCTCTTCATCTGCACACCTGGCTGGGCGTTGAAATGAGCCTGCACACACCGCCCTGCCTCCCCTTCCCTGGGAGCGAGCAGAGCCGCCGTCCTGCCCAGAGCCCGGCTCTGTGCACACAGCGTTTGCTGGGCCCCAGCTGGGTGCCGCCTGCCGACCAGTGCTTTGCACAGTTAGCTCTGAAGACTCTTGCAGTGACCCTGGGAGGCAGGCATTCTTCCTGGTGAGCCAGCAGTCCCAGAGGTCAAAGTAACATGCCCCAGGGCTCACACGAGGAGGAGGAAGAAGAAACATGTTGCAATAGACAGAGTGAGGACAGAGTGAGGACTCTGGAGCTAGGCCCGCTGGGTTTCGGGCTGAGCTCTCTCCTGTATGTACGAGCTTAGTTAAGCCATTCCATTCTCTCATGCAGGCTTAATGATGGCAGGGTTAACAGAAGGAGCTGAGGTCAAGTTCTGTAAAGCACTGAACACCACGCTGGCGCCTGGATAGCCCTTGTATGGTGGCAGTGGTTGCCACACTGGAACGGGGAAACTGGGATTTGCGACCAATCCATACACTGCGTGCGGGGAGGCATTGCCCCAGCCATTGCCCCGCAGGCCTAGCTCCACGTTCCTTGGCCTCCCAGGGGCCAGACTGAGTCTGGGATGGGGCTTTGGGAAGGAACAAGGTGCCCTGTACCTCAGCCATGGGCGAGGTCTCCCTGGGGACCTCAGTCACAAAAGGGCTGATAGAGCATTCCTGGGTTATGGCACCAATTCGGGAAGGAGATCAGGCCATGTGGTGGTGGGGGGGCAGACTCCTGTGCGCCTGCTGGGGGCAGGGGTGGATGTCTCCCTTCCCAGGGTGAGGAGGGGGCGGCCATCTGCTGCCCAGCCAGGCTCCTGCCTTCACAGGACCCTTCCCTGGCCCGGGAGCTGGCTAGAGGGCAAGTCCAGACTCATCCACCCAACAGCATGTGGCAACCACCCCTTGCTCATGCCCCAAAGCTGTAAAGCACCATGGGGGAAGCAGGAACCGTTCAGGAAGCAGTTGTCTGGCGAGTGCAACTTGGAAAGAGCCTTGGTTCTGGGTCGTGACGGGCGGGTGTTTGGCACAGTAAGAAACACCCACACTCCACCCACCGTGTCTGGGCCCCGCCCTGATGGCTGCACCCGGCCTCTCACTTCCAGGAGCTGGGAATGTTCTCTTGCAGCTTGCGGGTGACGGGGAGGTGGCGCCTCTGGCTGCTCTCCGGGGCCGGCAGGGGTGGGGGGTTCGGTCACAGGATGTGCACAGTGCCGTCCTTGATACCATAAATTTCGTTTTTAAAAAAATATGTGATAGGTGTTATGGGTTGAATTGTATTTCCCCTGAAAATGTTCAAATCCTAAACCTAGTAGCTCAGGATGTGACCTTATTTGGAAATTTTTCATAGTTCATGAAGATGAGGTCGTACTGGAGTAGGGTGGGCCCTAATCCAACAGGAGGGGCGTCCTTGCGCAAGGGGGAGATTTGGACGCAGACACACAGGGAACGTGCCGCGTGACAATCGGACTTGTGCTGCCACGAGCCAGGGAGCTCCCAGCAGCCAGGAGGGAATCCGCAGAGGAAACGTGGCCCTGCGGCTCCTGGTCTCGGGCTTCCGGCCTCTAGGTCGCCCAGACAGGGTGCCTGGGTGGGTCTCAGCTCAGCAAAGAGGGAGCCAGTGGCCAGGCCGGCGCGGAACACAGCCACCCTGTTCCTTCCTGGGGTCGGGTCCAGGAGAGAGCAGGTGAGCGCAGCTGAGAACGGAGGTCCGTGCTGGGGGCTCGAGCAGAGTGGGGTTGGGGTCTCCGCAGGGAGGCTCCTGGCCCAGCCTCCTGGCCGTGGGCCCGCTGCCCTGCCCCTGCTGGCGCTGTGCACTCTGGGACAGCAATCAGACTCGTCCACGTGCCCAGGTACGACGCACCGCTTTGGCCCAGGCCTGGGAGAGCCGCGTTCACGTACTCTGTCTGCCCACGTGAGGCCCATGCGAGCTCCGAGGGCCCACCAGCTGCCTGTGGACGCGGGAGGCGGGCGATGGCTGCAGAGAGCTGCCCGCGGGCAGCAAATGCTTGCTGCGCCACTTAGGAGGCTGAATGCCACGTGCCTTTGTGCTGGGGATCCACAGGGGCCGGGAGCCCATCCCCCAGCTCTGGAATTTGAGCAGCCAGGGCCACTACTGGTGGCAGGGAGCACGTGGAGTGGGGGCTGCAGCTGTCCTATGGCTTTCTGTCTTTCCTTACTGTCGCCTGGCGCCAGGTGCTCACCCACACTAGGACTTCCTGGCCACCTTTGTGAAAAAATGATTATAAAAGAATGTAAACAGAGGAGGTGATGGAGAAGGGGACCTGAGGACACAGCATATCCATCTGATGACAGAGCACGCTCACGCTTTGGGACAGCCCTCGCCGATGTAGACGGTCCTGTTGTTCGGTTTTTGTGTGGTGTCCCACTTCCCGCTGTGCCATACAGACGTGGGCAGGCAGCAGTCGCCCTGGGGCAGAGCCTCCCTGACTAGCCGTGTGGCCCTGGACAAGGTACACACACTCCTTGGGCTTCAGCTGCCACATCTGTGGAAGGGGGACATGACCAGTGACCATCTCCTGGGCTCTTACAAGAATTGAGTAAAGTTAAGGACACATGTGGGGCTCAGGACACGAAGTCCTACAAACAGTGCCTGGCACTCAGGGAGCGCTCAGCCACCATGAGCTGCTGTAATTACTGTGTGGTCAGCTCGGTGACCTTTCACTGTGCCACGACCCCCATGCCCGGCTCAGCCCTTCCACTGTCTATAACCAGGGGCTGGTTCCTGCTCTGGGCTTGTATGTTGGTGGTTATAAGTTGCATCACCATGAACATCTCTGTACAAGTCATTTTTCCTTCTTGTGTCACTGCTTTGGGCTCTATTTTACCCCAAAGTGGTTTTGAGGTCAAAGTGCGGTGTAGTTTAACAGAAAAGACATGGGCTTTGAGGCCAAAGGGCAGGGTCTTTACAGAGGAGACTCTGCCCTCGGAGCCAAGCGGATCTAGATTCAAATCTGTCACCACCCGTTTCCAGCTCCCTGGCCTCGGACAAGGTGTTGTGTGTGAAACCCAGTTTCCTTGTCTGTACAAAAAGGAGGCAAGCCACCTGCTTGGGAGGATCGTTGAGGGGCTTCAATAAGAAAAGGTGTATTTCTTTCTTTCCTTAAAAACCAACTGGGTTTAGGGCTTCCCTCTGCCCCTCTCTGACCTGTAGAGGCCAGGGATTGCCTTCGGAAAGCTGAGCAGACAGAACACAGGCTCTGGGGGAAGGAAGAGCCTCAGCACTCAGGAGTGGGGGGCAGGACGCTCTCTGCCTTGGGGAAAACTTAGGACCTGGTTAAGACTGTTTGGGGAGCCGCTCTCTGTAACCAGGATGACCAACCGTCCCTGTTTGCCTGGGACTGAGGCTGATTTCAGACTTTTCTCCTCGGGAGGCTGGCTACCTCCAGGAAGAAAGATATCTTGTGTCATTGGTGGGGGCTGTCTCTCCGAGGTCCAGGCCTCAGTCTGCTCTGGTTGGTTGCTTTGCACGGTGCATGCTGAGCACAGAGGGGCCGGGTCATTGCTCAGCGGATCTTCCCCAGGAGACATAGAAGGTCACTGAGCATGAACTGGTTTTGTCCAGGCTTGTCTGAGCAGGAGTCAGGGCTAATGGATGAG